CAAATTGTAGAATTATAATTTTAAGTGTGTATTAAACTTATATAATTAATAATAATAAATAATAAATAATTCTATTATAATTTCAAATATAAGCTCTTAATAACTTTTTTATTTTCATTGTAGATAATATTATATAGAGTAATCAATTTGGTTAGAAGATAGCACTAAATATTTACAAAATTTATATATCCATTTACATCGTCGTTAATCGATTGTTAAATTTTATATGAAATTTTAACGATAAATTAACTTTAATATTACAATTTGTATTTTAAATGTCAAATTTATTACAAAATTTTTTGTTTAAAAATTTTTTAAATATTTTAATTATAAAAATATTTTTATAATAATAGTATATGCACAATATTATTTATAATTATGTATTTTTTCTACAATATATGTAGTAAATAAAAATTAGATTAAAATTACAATTCTCAATTTTGCTTTATTAATATTGCTTTGTTATTTTTGCTCTATGTAAACTCTTTTGCCTTAATTTTTTAAATAATTGTTTTAATTTTTTTATTATTTCTGTTCTTTGTAATCGTTTTTTGCATAATCACATAATATTCAGAACAAATTGTGTATTCAAGCATTGTTATTCAAATAATATTCAACAATATTTAATTTACATCTTGTGTCTTAACACGAGTTAATAAAAATTAAACAAAATGCATTAATATTAATATTAAAATTTTAATAAAAATCTAATAATAAATGATATTAATTATAAACAAAAGAAAAATAATTTATGCATACTATACATATGGGAGAAGAATCATTTTATAAAGGCTAATTTAAAATTAAAAACTAGTACATTCAATTTATTTTATAAATAAAAAGCATATTATTAGTATAATATATATAATATTTTTTATCATATGTTGTATATATTAATATATATATATATAAAATATTGTAACATTTTTGTGTATAAACATACTTATATTTTAATTTTGCTAATTTAGACATGTATTACTCTTGTAATTTTGATATTTAACATTTCATGTTTATATGTCATAAATTTATATTATTCTAATAATATGACATAAATATATGAAATTAATATAAACATAATTTTTAAATATGTAATGTAATTAAATTAATGCATGTAAATCCATTATTAATGAATAATAGCAATAGTTACTTCTGTTTGAAAGTAAAAACTAAAATTTTTAGTAAAAAAAAGAAGTAAAAAAGTAGATAAATTTTAATAATACAAATCTTATATCATTTTATACTATATAATAGCTATGTTATAACATATGTATATAACATATATGTATATAATATATGTTGCATTTGATACTGCTTTATTATTATTATTATTGTCATATTTTTCTAATATATTTTCTTTTAAAAAATTCTGTAACATTTATAATATGGGAATTTCAAAAAATATGATTGTACAATAAAGTGCAGTAAATGTTTATGAAAGATATAATAGAACTTGATATATTTTGCCATCAAGATTTGATATATTTATTATCACTTGATATATTTTAATGTAGATTTAATGTAAGTGTTAGTATAGATTTTAACATACTTTTAATGTCAATTTATTAATATAACTTAATAAATTTTATATCAATTTTGATGACAAACTTATATCAAGAATTTTAAAAATATGAAAACAGATTTAAATAATTATTATAAAAAATTATTTTATTACTTATATCTGTTTATTTTTAATATATCTGTTAATAAAAAACATTATTTCTTTTTATAAATGAATAATCTAATTTAATTAATTTTTATTTAGATATGATTTATGGTATTGAATTTATTAATTATCGCTTTGTTACAACTAGAATTTTATACAGGCTATACAGAGTTGTCAGAGCTAACTCGTGTTATCATATGAATTTAGTTTTAATAATGTTAATATCTATTTGTAAATCTGATTTTTATAATATTGATATTGAAATATAATAAGGATAATCTTTTGACATTGGCTAAGTGGATATAAAGTATATAAAGTATATATTGTTTATTCGATGAGTAATCAAGTAAAATTAAAAACATTCCAATTAATGAATTATCTAGAATTTATTATTTAATCAAAAATAAAATATCAAATCAAATTAACTATTTTGAGGCATATGATCTTTGAAAATATCAAGTTTTTTATGATATATTTTGTTTTGCGTTTCTATATGCCGCGTGGAAAAGTTAAATTTTCTTAAGAGTTATCATATTCTTTCGATGCACGTTTTATTTCAATTTCTTAATCATACAATCATACAATTTTTCATTTATATATATATTCTTATGCAACGATAATTTTTTTTCATCTTCAATTTATGAGTATGAAACTGGAGAAAAAAAGCATCAATGTACAAAATGGAATTTAACTCAATGTTAATCCTATATATAAATAGATTTCGGAAAAAAAATTAAAAAAGTGTGTGATCAAAAAAAAAATTGATATCAAGATTTAATTGAGATTGATAATTGAACTGAGATTCTTTAAATTTCAAAAATAGATTTGAAAATAAAAAATATTAAATAGCGAAAATTCAAAATTTTTTATTTTGAATATGCGCGCATTTCAACGAAACAAAATGGATTAGCACATCAAGGACACCAACTTATGTTTACAATTTCTCGAATCATTATAAGTTTATATTCTAAACATATAAAATCTGACTGAAACTAACTAAATAGGGACTAGGAAATGCAACTGGCATTATCAGATTTAAGAAAAAAGTAGAATAGATCTTATGACACTAATGACTTTTGTGTTTTTAAAAAAAGTAAATATCGTATTATTGTCAAATAACTGTATACAATATTTTATATTGTCATAATATAGAAGTTAATATATTAATTTAAAATTATCAAATACGAATTCTTCGCTTTCAATATTACTAAATAGTAGTATTATAATATAATACTAAACTTAATTCTTTTTCGACAATTTCTGTACGAATAAAATAATGATATAACATTATTTTCATTATTAGATTAGATAATTATATAATATGATGTGATGCTTGATGAAAACGATACGAAATCTCACTATAGTTATAGATTTAATATAAAATAATATAATATAATACTTGGAGACATTTTAAAAATATGTTTTTGTTGAATGAATGAAATGAACCAAAATATATGTAATAATGTAATATTGATCAAATATAAAAGAAAAAACAAAATAATAAAGAAATAAAAATATTTGTTATAAAAATACACATAATATAATATATAATAAAATAATATATAATAGAAAACTTTAATATAAATAATATAAAATGTAAATAAATATAAGTATAAAAAAATTTGCAATATAATAATATATAATATATACAATTTACAAATTTGTTTTTTAATAATCATTTTGTTTTGTGTAATTTGTTTTAGAAAATGTTTTAGAAAATAAAATACCAATTAATCTTTTTGATATTATTCGTTTTTTATATATGTTAAAATTAAATAATAAGATTCTAACATTTTTATTTTTTTTTGTTTTTATTTTTGAAATTGATAATCTTATAATTATATTTATTGTTTTTGTTTTTAATTTATTTCTAAATTTTATTTTTATTTATATTATGATTGAAAAATATATTTTTATTGCATTGGAATCTTTGCGTTGGAATGTGGTAATGTTAAATGTAAAATCTATTTCTTTTTAAGATTTTCAAATATATTAATATCAAAATTTATTTATTCTCAATTGTAACAATTTTTTTTTTAATTTCGAAAAAATAAAATAGCAACATTTATCATTTATTCAAGCCTATTTCTCTTTAAAATTTTGTTTTATATTTAATTAATATATTTTTTAAGCTTGTATATTTTAATAAGCTTGTATAATATATTCTAGTAAGTTTAGTCCTATCCAAAGCTATTTTTGTTATTAAAAACTGTAATGAATATGAAAATTGAATAATCTCATTGAACAATAATTTTTTAATATTTTCACTAATAATAATAAAATTTAATGAATATAAATTATATAATAATAAATATATAATAATATATAATAAAATTTTTGAATATTAATATAAAATTTTATTATTTTTCAAAGTTTTCAACTGAATTTAAATCCATACTTTTTTTATGGAATTTTTTGAAACTATATATATTTTTTGAAACTATATATAA